TACGTGCAAAAACGTGGACAAACGTAGGGCATCCGTGCGTGGTGAGTACCACCTCCGTACGGAATCCTACGGATTTGGGAGCACGCAGACACGCCATAGAAATTTAAGTGCATGTAAAACTTTTTATACGTGCGGTCTGCGGATTCAACAACCGTGCGTGCGAGTACGAGCGAGGTGCATGCCCCGTACGTGCCGTGCAGAAGAAGCACGTGTGAGTACGGCCTCCTTACGGTAAAGTTGTAATCGCACAGAGATCGTACGTTGTAAGCACGTACAACTCACTTACCACTTGCGCAACGTACAATGCACGCAACCGCTCACGGCCAGACGTGGCGTGCAGACCACACTCTTACACCTTGCGTAACCGTGCGAGTGACGTGCGTCGACGCCACTCCTTCCCCACGTTTTCAGAAAAAACGTAGCAGACGTAGCCTCCCAAGAAACGTACGGTCAAAAAGCACGTACGGCGGGTTGTGACCAAGGCTTTACTGTACCAGGCTGCAAATTGTATCCTTTTATGTTGTGCACATGATGTAAATGAAGGTGGGCTTGAAATGTGGGGCTTGGATCTTATTTTGTGTTGGCGAGGTGCTTTGATCATTGCAATCTTTCATCTTTGACCATACATGCACAGTCATATATGAGGGCCTGCATGGGGGGTCCCGACAATGCTCCACGCTAAATTTTGAGAGCGGGCTACATATTATGCCGAATTCAAGAAGCCTCCCCCATTACGCTTTATGATAAATTCTGGGTAGCTACAACACAATACATAAAATAAAACAGCAAATTAAACTCTATGCAAAATGCGCCAATTACGTTGAATTAGATAGGTCTGTCTATGCTCTACACAGAAAAATTTAAATGGCCGATTACGCTCTATGAAAAAGGGCATGCGGGACCCCATATATGTTTATCTCATCTCTGTTTTAAAGGGATCGTTGCATTATTTAGCCACTGGCAGAGTCTGCACTTTTAGATGAAACGTTTGGCTACCACAGGCAGTGTTTTCTGTGTGGTATATTAGGTGCAGGTGCCGTGGGTCTGAACCAATACTTGTGTTTGTTGGGGAAGGGTTTACAGTATAAGAGCCACAGGAAACAGCTTTGCTTGGAACAAACATTGTACTAATGACCTCTCTGATCTCTGTAATATAAACCCCTGTAGCATGGTGATTGCTGGGGGTGTGATTTAATCAGACTATCCTCCCCCTACAGGATAGCTTAATTAATACAGCAGCTAAGGTGTAAGGAGGAATTATGTTCCTGTTGAAGGAAGTAGACATTCAGGTCAATAAACACAATGTGATACAAAATCCTCTTTCCGTACCGAAAAGAAAAACAACTTTACTTGTAGAAATCTGGGAATAAAAAGTCTACACATTATTAGCAAAGGAGGGGGGCAATATCAAAGGAAATTGATTGTGGGTGGTTGTTCTCTGTCCGTTTACAAAACCTGCGGCTTTACAAGCTGATTATGACAACCATTTTCATGAGTAAGCACACCTGCAGCTAGGCAATGGGGGTATGGGCAATTCTGTTTGAAATTGGGATTTGTTTGACACAAATCCTAAATGATCAAAGAACTGGTTGGTATTGTATATTGTACATAACACATCGTGCTTACTTACTAAAAAAATTGGGAATCCATTAAATTTGTTGTTGACATAAAAATGAACAATTGCTGGAGAAGTCACCTGTGATATCATCAATGCTATATCACACTTGATAGACAGTTGTTTCACGCCACAAGTAGATAATTGAATAAAACATTCTTATCTTATTGGTTCAGTAGTTAAAGGATTGGGCCTTCAAACACAGAAGCCTTCCTCTCTTATAATGTTGTTACTATGTCAGTGATACCATCGCTATGAAGAATAGACACATGTACCTATTAGTGTAAGGTAATGGTGATTAAGTGATAGTTTTGGGTTTCTTCTAATCTGTACTTTGAAACCTATTCTGCAGAACTTTCTCATCCCAGGTGAACATGATACAGGCAGTCTGGTGTTCAGAAAAACACTTTTTAAACAGTTAAAGCACAGATAAAAGTCGTCTTGCTTATCGTCTCAGGTACTCTGCTCCCTGTAAAAACAACTGACAGCACTCAATGTCTTAGATGGACTTAAGGTGCCTCAAGAAACTGTGGTGTTACTAAGGAAACTGCATGATAAAGACACCAGTAGAGCAGATGTGAGGAAGATGAAATGAGGCATGGTTCACCTCACGTGACCTTTCTTCCTGTCCTAAACTAGGTGCTGACAGCTAGTAGTACCTCAGGGAGTGTGGCTGTGGTTAATAGGACTGCCTTTTGCATGTGTGCATCTATGGGATCCTGTGCTCTACTTGACTGACCATGTCCTGGGTTAATCTTGTTATCCTGGTTGACAACATTTATTTATATATGACTAGGCAGGACTAGCCTGGGTACCATCCTACTTGTATGCCAGGGCTCCCACACTTCTAAGTTCTTAGGGAAGCGAGTGTGGGAGCCCCGGCATACAAGTAGGATGGTACCCAGGCTAAGGCAGGACAGCCATTGAGCAAATCTATTTTTTGACCTCTTCACCTGTCCGTGTCCAGCAATTGCTGAAGGAAGGGATCTAAGATTTCAGACTAGGAGATTAAAATAATCGTGTGAGGGTGCCAATCCAACTCTCATGGCCTGCATTAACTTTTCCTGTTATGTTGTGAACCTTTTGTTGAAAGGGACCGAAAGGAATAATAAAGTACATATAAAATTTTGATGGCAAATCCACATTACTCCATATTTTTTTCAGGACTGAATCAGCATATCCCAGCAACATCAGAACAACGGCTGGATGACCAGCTTATGAGGTTTATGGAGGAACATGGATACAGTGGAGCCAGCCTTGGTGTTGTAAAGGAGGGGAAACTAGTCTACATGAAGGTATGTGGATGAAACAGATTTTACCTTACTTGCATGACACTGCATTTAGTTAGCAAGCAGTGTATCTTACCACCAAAAACGAGTCTTCAATTTTTCATCCATGCAACATACAATGTACATGTGTCCAGAATCATTCTCAGAACTCCTTTTCTCAAACTTCCTCAGTAGAATTGTGCACTTTTTTGTCTGACTGAGGAAGTTCAATATTTCAGGCACATGGAGAGACCAGCCCCACCCCGCCCTTCCCCATCTCCAGTGTGTGTGATGTGCTGACTGCTGCAGCAGTGATGAGGCTGGTGGAGGAGGACAGAGTCGGGCTGCAGGACAGGGTGTTTGGACCAGACGGGATCCTCCGGTTCCCTGCAGCTCAGGACCTGCAGCTGTATGACCCCAGGATCCTGGACATAACAGTACTGCACCTGATGCACCATACTGCAGGTACAGTCAGTACTTATTGTCATTATCATGTTGTGTGGAAGTCTTTGATAGCATTTACTATACAAGCTTCAGTGATAACAAAATCAAGTACCTAATATACTTGGTAAAATAGATTTTATTGCAATCTACTTGCAGTCTTTTGTGTATGATATTTCATTTTGTCTTTCATCCAAACAGGTTGGGAAAACAAGAAAAGGTCAACACAATTCCATCTAGCTCCATCGCTTCATCTGTCATCCCACCCAAATGACTCCAAGGTCACATCAGATGTAGGTGACCTGGCTGACCAGTTGGTGCAGGTTGTCCAGCCCAGCTCCCTTGACCTCACGGCTGACCCAGGGACCAGGTACCACCTGTCTGACAAGGATGAGCCGCTCCTTAGGAAGGTGATCGAGACCACCTCAGGACAGACCTACAAAGACTTTGTTTCCAAACAAGTCCTTGAGCCACTTGGTATGTGGGCTACTCAGCTGAGACCAGGCCAGACCACAAAGTCTCAGAAGAAACTCCTGTTTGAAGAGGGTGAAATTCTTGTGGACAGAGATACCTCAGAACTGATGGCTACAACTGAGACCTGGTATTCAACCGTACCAGACCTGCTGCACCTTGTACAAGCAGTTCGAGGATACACATCTTCAGGACTCCTCAAGAAAGAAACTGTAAAGAGGATGCTAGAGAAGCCTGAGTTGCCCATGCCACAGCATGTTGAGATGTGGCATGGTGCTGGCATGCAGGTGAACAACAATGGCACCTGGTGGAAGGGAGGGGGTAGTGAAGGGGTGCATGTCATGATGTTCTGTGATGGGCAGTATAGATTGACTAGAAATCAAAACATTGCTTTGTATGGGCATGCTGACCACCCTGAAAAGCAGGGAGTATGCTGGGTAATCTGTCTCCATGGCAACAACCCAATCAGCCCACCAATCAGGAGGCAGTTAGCCAACATGATACACACATGTACCACTGAACTGCCAGAGAAAGACTTGTTCATTCAGGGCTACACAGACATGGTCACTGAGCTGAAATCAGGCAAGCTGGTAGCACTGAAACATGGAATACCAGACGATCACATGAAAGCATACTTGAATGGTGTACACAGTTTAGGCTACGAGGTACAGTGGGTCAGTGCTTACAATGTCCAGAACAAGGCACATTTTGCTGTGATTCTCAGAAAGCATAAGAATGGGACTTCTCAAATGGTAGGATTGTATCCATCTAAGAAACAGCTCTCAAAGGCTGTGAGTGAGTTAGAGACAAAGGGATACCATGTAGACTTCCTGACCAGCTATACCGGTGAGTCGTGTCATGAAGTCTGCTATATTGTCACTTTTGTTCACAAGCCTGCCCAAGACCTTCAGCAGACTAAAGTCAAGTGGGAGAAAACCTTAGACAAGTATGAGGATGATAGGACAGATAAGATAACAGCAGGGTATGTCATCAGTATGCAGAGTGTAGTATCAGTGCATGACCAACTCTACTTGTCTTACATACTTGAGAAACAGAAGGATGTCTCAAAGACTGCTGTGTACACAAGGCTAACCCTCTCTGAGCTTCAGACAGCTATACATACCAATGGCTTGTCTCAGAAGACATTGGCTCATCTGGATCCTTATAAAACAAGTGATGGCACAAGGTTCTCTGCTGTTTTTAACACAAACAGGTACGGCAAATGGACTTTTCATGGAAAGTTAACCAAAGAGTTGTTGAAGCAAGAGATGGGAAGGAGTGCCAGACTTGGCTATGAACCTAGTATCTTTGTTGGGTATGAAGAAGAAGGGGAGATATATTATGCTGTTATGTGGATTCTGCCCCAGTGATTCTAACAATAGAACTAGAAAGGCCGACATTTGCTTGAGAGCAAATGCAGCAGATGGCTTCACCCTATCCCCCATACCGAAAATGGATCCATCCTACGATGGCTGCCAATAGTCTACACCCCCATGCAGAAATGGAACCTTCCAATGCCGGAAATAGCCAAAAAGCCCTATTTTACATAACTTTAAAGTGGTGTATGTCAAAAGCGTGAATGGCATTCTTTGGACATGTGTCCAAGGTAACCCCATACCGAATTTCAGGTCATTCAGATTTAATATTAGGGCACAGGAGCCAAAAATGTACATTTTGGGTCCGAAAATAGCCAAAAAGCCTTATTTTTCCCAATTTTAAAGTGGTGTATGTCAATAGCTTGAATGATTTTTTGTAGACATATGTCCAAGGTATCCCCATACCAAATTTCAGGTCATTTGGTTTTAGTACCTGGGAACCAGATCTCAAAATGTATATTTTTTGCCTGAAAATGGCCAAAAAACCCAAATAAAACAATTTTTCAAAAAAATGAAAAAAACGCGTCGGGGTATTTGCCCACTCTACCTTCATGCCAAATTTCGTGTTATTTGGCCGGAAAATGGCAGAGATGAATCCATTTAAAGAAATGGCAGGAGAAGAAGAAGAAACATGAGGGAACACAATATGTCTTCACCACTTTGTGGTGAAGCCATAAATATGTTATATACTGTACCTTTGGGAATGGGCCAGAGAGATGTACATTAAATGATGTATTATGGGGTCATGGACAATAGGTAAACCCAGAATGACAGTAATGTAAATAGTGTTTGTGTTCATTTTGAATGGTAGTTGTCCAGTCCAAGTTCTGGTACTACAGACAGTATTTTCTGATCACAACAGTGATTGCTTGGCAGTTGAAAATCTGTATCCTACTCTTTGTTGTTTTTTTATGGAATAAAGATGCTGTGCTGTCATCAACAATCTGTGATGTTTTGTAGGAGTACTGGTCTTACAGTCATAGCTGTAACTTAGGATTACTTCGAGTAAGCTGAATCACACCATACATGAGCAGTGATGCTGATATGCTGAAAACCAGTCAATCTAAAGACACAGAGGTAAAGTTAGTAGTAAGGTGATCAGGGTTTATCCTGATGACAAGGTAACTACATAATTATGGGTTCACCACACCACGAAGTGGTGGTGAACCCATATTGCTTTTTCTGATGTTTCTTCTCCTTCTCCTCCTCCTTCTCCTCCTCCTGCCATATCTTTAAATGGATTCAGCTTCTTCATTTTAGGGCCTAAGGTCCTGAAATTTGGTATGGAGGTACAGTGGGCAAATACCCCTAGGCGTTTTTTAAATTTTTGTGATACAGGCTTTTAGAATGGTTTTATTTGAGTTTTTTGGCTGTGTTATAGCAAATGTATTACTGTGTTAGTGTGCCGTGTTTACCATGAGTCATCGCAATGGAATGTAGGGCATCAACCAATAGGCATGCAGCTTTCCTCTATACTTCTTGCTGATTGGCTGTTGGGATTTAACTTGATTAACACCCGCACAGAGCATTTCCACCTGCACAGAGCATTTCTTGCTGATTGGCTGTTGGGATTTAACTTGATTAACACCTGCACAGAGCATTTCCATACTGACAGTATGTCTTTATTCAAGTGTTTTGGTAGGTATTTCAAGCTTTTCTGCTCCAGCATTGGAATGCGGGGCATGAACGTTTTTTATTTATTTTGAAAATCAACAGTTTGCATTATGCAATTAAAAATCCTAACCAATAAAGTAGGGAATAGCTATCCAACTGTTGTTTTAGTTGTATGTTACTTCATATTATAGTTATATCAATGTAATTAAAACTAAATCATTGTTTTCCCTTGTGTTTCTCATTCTTTCCCTGCCATGTGGTAAAATGTGGTGAACCCATCGCTGTATTTCCTCCAAAGCAAATATTGGCCTTTCTAGTTCTTTTACCTATCTGCCAGCATAATGAATGCCTAGCCGGCGTACTAATTATTAGAAGACGAACTTTTCTCCAAAACTTTTAGAAAAGTTTACCAGTACCGAGTGTATCTGTTTAGTAGTGACCCCTATCGATCACCGTCTGAATTGCACCCGCGCCTGCACGGTCCGTATCTTGACCGTTACCAACTTGCAACAGTGACCTCCATCGTAATGTAGTGCTTGCAATGTGTCCAAGACATTTCCCATGCATAATTGCTTATCATAGTTTTACAATAATCGCTCATATCGATCAATAAAAGCGATACGAAGTGTTGACCTATATATACTACAGTAGGTCCACACTTCATAGCTATATAAGTCAACTATACATTACAATTCCTCCCTAAAGAACTGCATATCTAATGAACAAAACAACAAATCACATAATATCAAACTATAACACAAAACATGCCTTTTTACCTCCGATCACACAGATTTGAAGCACAAGCGTGTCGGAGCACGCGGTCAGGTCTGTCACTTCCGGATTTGGGATGGAAGGGAACACTGATTCTGTAGGGGGAGATTTAGCTTCAAATGAAGTAAGTGCGGTATCTTTTTACCCCCTAAAACATTAGATTGAATTATATATATAAAATGAATTTTTTTGTCTCTATTTCCTTTGAAACGTATTCTTAGAAACAAAATTTATTCACCAAGTCTATATAGTAATTTGCCCCCCTATTTATTTAATATAATGATCTGGTGTGAAAGGTCATGTTACCCAACATAACGTTTTTGGAAGTCAGTGTTGCAGTGGGACTCGGTTCTGTGCTCATTTTAGTGCACCTTCTGTATCTGTATCAGTATAGCCGGTATAACCGCCTTTCGGCGTAACACACCAGCTTCGCAGGCACGCGGCGCGGCGGCAGCTGGCGGCGGCAGCTGGCACCTTTGGCGGAGAAGTCGGAAAGAATTACAGGAAGGCAGTCACATTCAACCAAGGACAATGGGGTCTCGCGTGTTGATAGGTTTGTTCGTTAGTTAGCTAACCATTTTGATCCTTTCAGTTGTCATGGGACTTGTCATTGAGCTAGTCCATGTCCATGGCAACTTCGATTTGTCACAGTGTAACGTTGCATAATATTACAATTTACAAACATTGTATTATGTTTTCTTGTTCTTGTCGTAAATGACTTTGTCCATACAATAAGGCACATAACTTCCATTATCATCATCATAACTTTAATGTATTATATTTGCCACATACTGTAGTAGCTGGTAGCTGAAGTTTTAATAGAATGGCATAGTATTATAATAAGCAATATGACATTCATTCAACTGCTTTTCAGGTGGAGGTAGTGGGTTCATAGGGACAGCCCTCAGGAAGATGTTAGAGCATCGAGGTTTCCAGGTGACACTCATCTCTCGCACACCTGGCAAGGACAAGATCACCTGGGTCGGTAACTCTCATCACAAACCTTGATTTTTTCAACTCAGATTAAAGTCGTAGGATTACAATTTATGTCATCTGTCACTACACTACCATTTTGTTAAGGAACAGATTTTTTGTTGGAGATGATTTTGGAAGATGTTGAAATTTATCTTGGAACATGTTACTTGATATTTTCTACAGGATGAAGTGAAGAAAACAGGCCTGCCTGACTGCCATGCTGTTGTGGGAATGCAGGGTGCAAACATTCTAAACATATTCAGGAGGTAAAAAGCTACTAGTATCTTACTTTCTAATCCTGTTGTTCAATTAAGTTAATTCATAGACCTGTGCTACACTTTTAGATTTGGGTTGACTATCTATAGCTTAGTGTTGCTAAAAGTTAGGAAACAAAAGGAACTTGGAACATATTGATTATACATTGTATATTTTGATGGTGATTGTATTTGCTTTGAAGTTACTTTGCCCAAATTTTTTACCAAGCCCAAATTATCAAGCCCAAATTACTTTGCCCGAACCACAATGTTTAAGCACCACTCGTTATCATATGTTCGCTTTACCACAAAGGAATGCAATAGCATTCACACTCACTCACTATTTGATTATTTTGCTGCTGTTGTTCCTGTCACCATATCATTATTTTAAGTTATTTTGTCAACACAAGTGGATGTTGCAATCATTCTTTCATTTATCTTATGCATCTTTTACAAGATGGACAGATGGCTTTAAGAAAGAAGTGTGGGACAGCAGAGTGGAGACGACCAAGACTCTAGCCCAGGCCATCAGCGAGTCCAGCAATCCTCCCAAGGTCTGGGTGTCCTTCTCTGGAGTAGGTAAGTACAACAGTTCTACAGTTTGTCTACAAGGCCTGTGTTTGACTAACTCTAAACAAAGCCATAGTATAGTAACACAGGGGGGCCTGCATCCCCTTTTTTGTAAGGCGTAATCAGGCCTTTTTAGTCTTCGTAATCTGTAGGCAGCCTCCCCAAAAATCAACGTAATTCATAATAGTACATTAGCCACAAAGCGTAAAGTCATAATCAGCTCTGAGACTTTAACATAATTCGTAATCGACGTCAAAAATTTTGCAGGTCCTAACACAGGTCTGTATTTGAGTGAGGAAAGTTCAGAGTAGAAACATTCAGTTCAGAGGTTTCAAACCTTGGAACCAATAGCAAAACAGCAACCAATTCAAAATTGTGATGTTGTCAAACATCTTAACTGAATTTAGATGGTTTAACACAAGAAAGCCAAAAGAGCATGAAAGCCAAAAGAGCATGAAATAATTTTCATACACTATTCTTCCTAAGACAATAACCCTTTTAAATCTCTTCCATCCTGCCCAGGATACTACAAGCCCAGTTATGTGTATGACTATGATGAGGACAGCCCTGGAGGAGACTTTGACTACCTCTCACAGTTGGCCACAGCATGGGAGGAGGCAGCAAAACTACCAGCTCAGAACACAAACACCAGAGAGGTCATCATCAGATCAGGTGTGCAACTCTTAAAAAAAGTTTTTTTTTCAACCAGAACTATTGCTGCTGTCCCTGAAAAAGCTTGCCTTCTTCCATGGTAATTTATGAATGTACTTAATTGTCTTGCTGTATGCCTTCACAGGTGTTGTTCTTGGCCGGGATGGTGGTGCCATCAAGCAGATGTACTTCTCCTTCTGGTTTGGTTCAGGAGGAGTGATAGGTGACGGAATGCAGTTCTTCCCGTGGATCCACATCAATGACCTTACCAGGCTCGTCGTACATGCTATTGAGGATGAAAAGGTCTCAGGAATCCTGAATGGTGTGGCACCAGAGACTGTCACAAACTGGGACTTCACAAAAGAGTTCAACACAAACCTGAAGAGACCAGGCTTCTTCCCACTGCCAAGGCCTGTTGTCAACTTTGCTCTAGGAGAGGAGAGGGCAAAGATGCTGACTGAGGGGCAGGCAGTTGTCCCAAAGCGCACATTGGAGTCTGGATTCAGCTTCAACTTCCCCAAGCTAAAGATGGCATTAGATAATATATTTTCCTACAGAAAAGGGTTCTGGTCATATTGACGTGTTGGTATCACTTAAGTAGGAAAATGACAAGCTATACCATATACTAGTACAATAGTTTTATGAATTAAAAAATCAGCTGCAATGTTGTAAATGCACAGATGTTGCACAAGACCTTTTTTTGATTTCGAAGTGTTACCTCCTTTCACCTAGTGTATGGTTATAGCAAGGAGAAACCTCATTGGGTATAGAAAATAAAGACTTCCTTTGAATCCCTGTTTGAATCTTTCTTGTATCCTGTGTTCATTGCTTTCCAGCATTTCATTATCATTTCCCTCATAGTCATAGCTCACAAGAGTCTCATATCTTTTAACTTCAAGGATATATACAAATGGACACTTACACTTGCTCTTATTACATTTATTAAAGACTACAGGATACAAGTACAAAAAATGTACTGCAAATACAGGCTTGGGAAGTAAGAGCAAAGTCAACCTTTTATAATGTTGAATATATAGAATAAACATATTTTTGGGTTTATACATTCTACTTGTGTATGAAATACTGCTACATGTATAATTCTGACAGGTAGACTATGCCGTCATCACTATAGCAAGACTGATACTATTTGTGAATATACAATGAACCAACAAATAGAATCAGTAGCAATGATTCACATCAATGATTCACAATGATGCTAGTTGGACTTAACATGTTGATTCTCACTCTCGGGAAAATAAACCTGGCAGTTTTATTTCACACACATTCAAATCAGAGAATGAGAAAAAAAGACTTTACTGTACCGGGTACTTAAGGAAATATCAAAAGTTATGGTGTTAGCAGATAGGCAAAGAAAAAACTATTGAATAGAATTCGTTGTGGCCTTGGGAGATGTCACCAAGAGCAAATCAGTCAGTCATCTCTCTCGTCCATGCTGATCAACCCATAGAGTACTCTGGGCACGAGATTAACCGATGACGTCAGGATTGCCACGAGTCGGGCGAGATTTGCGGGAGTGTCAGATATAAACCTCCGCTACAAACAATATAGTGCATGGTTCAACCGACACTGTCCGCTCAATAAACCTCAGCAAAGGATATCTTTCAAAAGAATTAGGCACCACGCTGATATTAGATACCTCTGGTGTGATATCTTGTCTGTTTGAATTCGGGAATTCGTGTAAGCCTGTCGGTAGGAGGTGTGCGCCTGTGTGCACAGGTGGGCAGTGATCAGGCCAGGTGGCCGCCATCTTGGATTTCATGGAGAGTTACCCCAGTGGACGTAGGGCGAATTTCTTCTGATTTTGGACGTTTCTCACTACAGGTGAGTACTCCCACTGCAGCCGATGAACACATAACAGTACAGAGTAGACACAGAATATTCTCATGTGTTATTAACAGGGCATTTGGTGATGTGATTGCAAATTTCCTGTCAGCGGAACTTCGTGCTCACTGCCTCGTCAGTCCTGGTGTGAGCTCTGACATATATGAGCCATTCAAACATGCGGTTGGCGAATGATTTTACATCCTAACGATGACACAGTCATCTAATCTTTGAAGATTAGGATCTTGTGATCATATTACGTCAATGATAAGGCCCGTGTGTACTGCGACTCCCTTATAAATGGTATACATGTGGTAAACATCCTTGCGTCCGGAACACCGGTAGGTAGGTGGTTTTCTACCTGAACCATTATCACACCTTTACGTCACCTGCATACCGCACTTCCTCGTCAAGAAACCATAGGAAGCAAGGCGCGCAAATTTATGTTTCTAAAGTTCACGAAAAGTCCTAGTTATCTCTGTGGCCTTTGAAAACTGGTACATCACATGATCAGTCATTTTATTTGGCGTAGACTAGCAGAGCCTTGCCAAAGGTGGTCTTCTGACGTTTTAGTAGGCCTGGGTCAATGCCCCACCCCTCCCCCTTTGGCAAAATCATGGTTTATAAATTTATGCCCTTCGGGATGGTACTTCACACTAACAAGGATGGAGTTTTCAGGAATTATAGGAAGGATAACATAAGAAACCAATCTTCATGTCTCAGTTTAGTCAGATTGAAAGTCAATGGTAATGTCTTCTGCATGTACATGTAAGTTGTACTTTGGTGATGCGCATGGAAGATCAGAGTCCACTGGTGTACAAAATAAATACGCTTGACCATTGATGTCTAACACTTCTTTTGAAATGAAAACTCTAGTTCTTTCAGAGCTGTTGTCAATGAGACAGCTGCAATCCAACAGTTTGATCGGTAGCGGCACTACTAGGGAACATAATATTTTGCCTCTCTAACATCAAAGGTTATAAATGCAGCTGCAGAGAACATCAGATGGAATTGAAATCTTGGCAGGCATTATTTGTTTACTCAGTGACTCTGAGTTCTCATTTCAGGAAACATTTAGAAACAGATTTGGGGAAAGGAATGGGGCAGACTTCAAGAGACCAACAAGTAATTGTCGGGAAGTCATGTAAAGAATGCCAGCGAAAGACTTTATGTTTTGAATAATATAAAGCAACACCAAGAATGCGAGAGGGCAAAGTCAAACCAGATAAGCATAATTCATAATTTATTAATTTTTGTTTGGGCTCTCAGCTTCAATGTGTTGGATATTTGTTGCATCTACTGATCTAGTACAAATACAGACAGGAAGATTATAAGATGATAGTTTTACTTGAATGTGAACTACAGAGACAATTGAGGAACAGTGAACAGTATACTTAAGAATGATAAAATATTCATAGGGACATGACACAGGTATACCAATATAATACAAAGTGATGGGAAAGCAGGTCAGCTTATCCCCAAGATGATATAGGCTTGATGTTAACCATTCCCCTAATGGAAAATTAAACTGCCAATTTATTTTCTACATGCGCAGCTGCCAGCTTCATGACCTCTTTACAAAACAAAATGATTGAATCATTATAGTACAGATTGAGCCTCTTGGTATAACATTCTGGTCCGGAACACAGGTCAAAAACTATCATTATTCATATAGAATTTAAAGTAAATTGCATTCATAGGGTGATATAGTTCTAAAACAGTCTTCAGAGAAAAATTTGTACAGCTTAAACTTAAAGTTAGAATTAAGAATTCAAATTCTCAGATTTGAAATGGAAGAAATTTGTTCAAGCAACACCTGTTCAACTCATAAATATGTATATATCTTGTTGCAACGTAGAAAAAAATCAATGCCTCTTGAACCTTATAGAATTGCATGTTGAGTCGTTTGACATGGTGGTCATACATGGCATGTTAATGGTTCTGTATAGTCTGTATGTACCTATGACATTCTCAATGTAAACGGTAAATACCAAAATTGTCAGTGACATATAACATGCAGTCACTTGACGCCAGTTTATCATTGAACTACAGCAGTTGAAATGTCAATAGAGATTACCTTGTAGGCTTATAATGATGTCATGGGTATTTACAGTTGTATATATCAATGTACATGTATTATACAAAGCGAATAGAAATATACTTGTGCTACAGTATTTTATACTGGACCTAGTAATAATGGCACTGGCACAGGCACTGTGCAATAATGCCAAAGTAACATGTTTCAATATTATGGAATTGTTTTTGAAAGCCACTTTACTTCTGTGGTTCAAATGGCCCTTGAAACTGCAATAAGAGGGCGAGAATAAAATGAAGGCCTTGATGAAAACACCTTAATGGACAGATACACCCCTGCAGGGTGCTTTGAAAACGCATCCCAGACATTGATTAATATCTCACTCGAGTGCAAATTTGCCTGACTTATGTGTGCCGCATACCGTCATAACCTCCTTTATGGGTCCTCAGATGTTTCTGCCTTTGAGGCTTCCTGCCATACGTTAAAATGTCTTGTGTTTTTCCTTGGCCCCCATTAGTGATGTTCAACAGCCAATTGCCACAGCACGGGTCCAGTAGAGCAGAAAGCAAAGAAGAAAATTGAACAGCTGTGACTCAAGTAGAATATTGCGGGAGAAATTAGTCGAAAATGAGGCCCAATGGGGCTTGGTTTGTTGTAAGTTCCATTCAAAGACTAATTACGACATCAATAAACTTAACCTGAGGCTGCAGGTAGAGTGATAATGAAGTGACTGCATCATACATTATATAAACTAGATTAGGCAAAAACTTGTTTTTCTTGTGGAAGGTAGTCTGAAGGGAAGGGTAACAGTCCCTTGACAACGATGTTACTAGGCTTGGCTTATATATAATCTTTAGAATGAACTTGAACTATATTCTGATAGATGTGTGGCAGCTCTGGACTCTGAACTTTGAGGTAGATAGATGATGCTTTTATCCTCATCCCTGCTGAGGTAACTGTACAGTAATACTAATAGGTTTGGGGCCAGATTTTCCCTAGGCACTACAATTTCAATACGACATTTTGTGTTTGAAGATAAGAAAATCATTTAAACACATAATCCACAATGGTCAAATTTATTGCAATTGCTTTGAACTAGTCAATGTGTATTGATTATATCCCTGGAGGAAAGTTGTGATGTGCCTGATGGTATGTTATCAGGTCATTATTTTGAGAATTTTTGACCATGACGTAACTTCGTTTGAATGTTGATCTATGGTGATGCAAGGTAAAGATTGATGTAAAACCATCTGTATAATGAATTTTGTTTATGTTGGTATAATATTCCATATGTTGATTTATGTATTGAAGCCATGTTGATTTTTGATCATATTCCTGACTGTTTTGCAGAAAAACGGGTAACCTGCCCCCATGAGTCAGCTACTGGGTAAGGGCTGCAAATCAGACGGCTTCCTGGCTGTTTGGATAATTTAAATGAGTGTCTCACAATATTTGAAGTGGCTAGAAAATTTTTGTTATTTTGCTGCATTGTAAAACCTTAAAACTGATAGTAATATAGTGTTAAAATGTGGAATACAAAAAAAATTACATTGCTTATTCAAGTTATTGTATAACTCCCATAACATCATCATATCCTGCTCACACCTGCTAAGGTAAGGTATGCCAACTTGTTTACAGTAAATAGATGGTAGTACACAGGGTTTGATGATGTCACTAAAATTGTAGACCAGAAAAAAGGAAGTTGATATTTCTTTGGATAAAATCTCAGAAAATGTTATATCTTGCAAGTCACTTCAAAAGTTATGATGCATTCCTTTAAATAAGTACCAGTAACAAAATCCTTTTGTGAATAATCCTTCAGTTTTACCTCTATGTTAGGTGGAGGTGTTTCTTCTTCTTTCCTGTGTCAGTTTCCTCTCCTTTGCTATTTAGGTTGCTCTTAACTAATACAAC